CCCCACCAGCACACCAGCCAATGTAGTGCCCACAGTACTCGCGTTGCCCGTGGTGCTCTGGGCCCCAGGGCTGATGTCACAGAGTGGCTGGTTCCAGGTGCTGGACACGGGGGCCTCTCAGGGGAGGGGTGGGGAGGGGCAACATGGGGGGTTCCAAGCAAGAGGGGGTGCAGAAGCTGGGATCAGAGAGAGAGAAGTGGCTTGAAGAATGGCAGCCTCAAAGGTCGTGCAAGGTGCAGGAGCTTCCTGCTGCCATCCTGGCTTGTGGGGATAGAGCTAAGGCACCCAGCTGAGTGCGCAACCTGGTCCCTAGGATGACAGGGCAGGCTCTGTCTGAAAGCGGCAGAGCTGCTCTCAAGGCCCTTGAGGCGTAGCATGGCTTCGTAGGCACTGGGCCCCAAACCAACGGGACTCAAGGCTGCTTTGGTTTTTGAAAATGTATCTAAAGGTGGTGCCTGCTACCGGCTTAGAGCAGATAGAAGGCGGCCTTAGCGAAGACAACTTGTCTTCTGTGGATACTCTGCCATTCCAGCACCAGATTTTGCAGATGGGTTTGCCTCTGCACTGCCAGTTGCTCTGCTTCTATTGCTGCAACCACCCCCATAGGGCATTTGCCACCATCCATGAGTCAGTATAGAGATAAAGTACTCGCCACATTTCTCATTCAGCAATATCTAAAGGCAGCTGGATGGCTTTCACCTCTGCAAACTGACTCGACTCCATGTCTTCAGCAGTTTCTGCGACTTGTCGTATAGGAAGGACTCCATACAGCAGCTTTCCACCTCCGATGCTTTCCCACAAGATGACAGGACCCATCAGTGAACAGCGCATATTGCTTCTCATTTTCTGGCAGTTTATTATACAGGAATACCTGCTTTTTGTTGTTGGAAAACTAAAAGTTAATTAGTACATTTGAATGCTGATGCTGAATAAAGAGCATCTGATAGTCTGTTACAACAGTTTAATCCCAGGTTCTTTTTAGCCTGTGTATCCTAGCAAGCAACATGTAATGTATGAAGAATTCTCATACTTTACAGATTATGGCGGAGGAACAGTAAGATAACTCTGATAAGTACCTTACATCTGAATTGCATGATCCTTCATCAATGTGGGCTGTGATCAGTTGAGTCACACATAAAACCAGAAGTTTCAGTCTTTTTGTGAGTTTAAAAGGAAAGGTTTAGCATATGTACAGTATCTTTTCCATTGCTTGTATGGAAGCTGGTATTACTTTTAAATATTTCCTAATTGACGTTTTCCTTTTCTTTTCCACCATGAATTTTTCTAATAAAGATTAATGCTTTAAAACTTTGTACCTAGTTACAAGTTTCATAGAATTTTATAAAACATGTGGGTTTTGGTTTTGTTTTTTTTTTTTGCTTATTCTGGGTGGGTCTTTTTTTTGTTCATAGGTGTGCTCCAGCAGTTTGGAATTATCTGTCTTGTATTTTGACATCAGAATTTGAAAGACACTATTTAATTCTTTCTATTTGTTAACTCTCAACAGTATTTTTCTTGATGATGTGAACTGATGTGTTCCAGTCTTTCTCTGTGCTAGTGGTTGAATTTCACAGCTTACTCTGTAGGCCCTACCTTTGAGTGCGCAATGCAACGATTCTGTTTCGAAGGACTGCAGATGGTTTCAGTGTCTTTCCAGGCAACTCAGTACATGAAGACTTATTACCATCCAATGTCTGCCTCCTGCAGGGTGACTTATTTCCTTCCATTGTATTTTTTACATTGATCTATGATCCATTTTGGAAAGTATTTGCAGTTTCTAGTCTTGAGGACCTCAACTCTCTTGTTCCACTTTTAGTATTTGCTTTCTAGCAGAAAGCTGAAAGAATGTATCCAGGACACGTGTTCAGAATAGCCGCTTTGGTGTAACAGGAAATGGTACCTTGCCTCACTTTCTGCTGATGTGCTCTAGTGAGAGATTCCTGGTCCTGTTTCACAGCAAGTTGTTGAGAAGCCTTACCTTTTTGGCATAACAAAGATACATGTTCATACATTTGTTTGGCTATCAAAAGATAATGATCTAAATCCTTTCTTCTTTGTTCTATAAAGCTGTCCTCTTATATCCTGCTATCTTCCCTGTATTAACAAACATGAAATGGAGTGTATGGATTTATGAAAAGAAAAAACCTATTATGCAAGTAAATATCATTCAAATAGCATAAGCATGTGTGAAGAGATGAAAACTTGTTTGACTTTGCGGGGGGGGGGAGAATATGCTTTTAAACATTTGTCTGTGCTTGTTTTTAAAGTGTAAAAAGATGGTTCCTGCGTCAAAGAGGTATACGATACATCATTCTCCCAACTTTCTCACAATATCACTGAAAAGATTTGCAAATTTTACAGGTGGAAAGATCAACAAGGTATATTTACAGCTGTAATGCAACTTTACCTTCTTGGAATGGGAGATTTCCCAAAGATGACTACTCATTTAAAAGTTGTTAATGTTTGCAGGTCATAACTATAGCCTAAGAAAAGTCAATATAACAGCTATGGCTTTTTTCCTTTTTAATAACGATAAAGTTCCTGTGTGACCATAAGAATATACTTTACTCTTAAAGAGCTAATTCTGTAGTAAACAGTTCTCTGCAACTTAAATCATTAAATGTTGTTTATGAGAACAGGTATTTTTAAATATATTTATATTTACAGGCAGGTCACAAGCAGTGTTCCCCAGGGCTCTGTTTTGGGGCCAGTCTTGTTTAATATCTTTATTGACGATCTGGATGAGGGGATTGAGTGCACCCTCAGTAAGTTTGCAGATGACCCAAGTTGGGGGGGGAGTGTCGATCTGCTGGAGGGTAGGATGGCCCTGCAGAGGGGTCTGGATAGTCTGGATCAATGGGCCGAGGCCAACTGTATGAGGTTCAACAAGGCCAAGTGCCAGGTCCTGCACTTGGGTCACAACAACCCCATACAACAGTACAGGCTTGGGGAAGAGTGTCTGGAAAGGTCCCTGGCCGAAAAGCACCTGGGAGTGTTGGTAGACAGCCAGCTGAGCATGAGCCAGCAGTTTTCCCAGGTGGCCAAGAAGGCCAACAGCATCCTGGCTTGCATTAGGAATAGTGTGGCCAGCAGGAGCAGGGAGGTGATTGTCCCCCTATACTTGGCACTGGTGAGGCAGCACCTCAGATACTGTGTTCACTTTTGGGGCCCCTCAATACAAGAAGGACACTGAGTTGCTGGAGCATGTCCAGAGAAGGGCAGCGAAGCTGGTGAAGGGTCTAGAGAGCAAGTCTTATGAGGAGCAGCTGAGGGAACTGGGATTGTTTAGGCTGGAGAAAAGGAGGATGAGGGGAGACCTTATTGCTCTCTACAACTACCTGAAAGGAGGTTGTAGTGAGGTGGGTGTTAGTCTCTTCTCCCAAGTAACAAGAGATAGGACGAGAGGAAATGGGCTCAAGCTGCGCCAGGGGAGGTTTAGATTGGATATTAGGAAAAATTTCTTCATGGAAAGGGTAGTCAAATATAAGAACAGGTTGCCCAGAGAGGTGGTGGAGTCACCATCCCTGGAAGTGTTCAAAAAACAGGTAGCTGTGGCACTTTGGGACATGGTTTAGTGGACATGGTGGTGTTGGGTTGATGGTTGGACTGATGATCTTAGAGATCCTTTCCAACCTTAATGATTCCTAGTTTTTACTTTCATTAAAAAATAATCCAGCCACCAAGCCAGGAACATGAAATTATGACTCTACCCTTAACTGGTTTAGTGGTGGACTTGGTAGTGTTAGGTTAACAGTTGGACTGGATGATCTTAAAGGTCTTTTCCAACCTAAATGATTCTGTTCTGTTCTGTTCTATTCTAAATGAATCAAAAAATATATTCATATAATCCCAATCTGTGTTTTTAGAAGTGTTTTTCTCAGGCCATTCCATGAAGTATTTAAGGATAATCTTTGAATCTTCTTAGTCTCCTTTTAGAATGTAAAATAGCCCGAATATTTGGATCTTCAAGCATCTGTCTCCCAGTCAATTGGAGAACCACTCATCTATACTTTATATGCAGTTCTTGTACAGAGGGGTTTCAGCTGTAACACAGGACACTCTCTCTGCTTCATAAAGGTAGCTATCAGCTTGATTTTAACAGGGTAAAATCTGTGCTGACAAAGAAATTAAAACGTTATGGGTAACCACTGTTTTTTAGGGGAAAAGGTTGCATTCTCTGTTTTGTATGATTTGTTTTGCTATGTTCCATTCTGTAATGTTCTATCTGTGATGCCATTTGGAAAACATGCAGTTCATCTAAAGAAATCATTGTCTTTATTTGCAGGCCAGTAATGGACTTTGGTATCAAGTGAATGATGCCTCGGTAGACCTTTCTGATATCAAACCAGTTCTCAAACTGCAGGCTTATGTACTTTTTTATATCAGGTAATAACAAAGACTAAATGTGTTGAGAATATATTTACTCTCCTGTTACTGATATTTTTCCTCTTTTCAAGTGGTTTTTTTCTCTCCCAGGAAAAAGATTACTATTTGTATAATTCA